ATTATCATGGAAAAGAGATGTTATACCTTTAGATATTTAAAACACTATTAAGAGCTGGGTGCAGTGAGGACACAGTTATCAGGGACCTGGCCAACATCCCGAAATGCTGCATGAGAGGTACAGCAAAAGAATGAAATAAGAAACGGAGACAAACTTAGTAATGCATGACAGGGGGCTGGGAGGTCTGTACTTCAGGATGGGCAGACACTATTTATTGGGTGTGTACAATAATCGAAGGGATTATCCGATGACTCAAAGGGTGGCATGACATTATGTTAATGAGGATCTTTATGTTGATGAGGATGAGAGAGAGATGGCAGGTTAAGAAGTCTGATCTTTCCCAAGATGAGACCCTATTTTTATTATCACTGGGTTCTCAAGGAATCAAGATGTCTTCAGCGGATGCAGTCTTGGCTGGGGGTGTCATAGCATCACAGGAGCACTGAGGCTTCAATTGTGACTGGAGGTACACAGAATCATGTTCCCACATATCATAACCAGCCCACATGGCAAGGCACTAGGCCTGTGACTAGCTCTAATCACAACTTAATTATGAAATGATTTTCCCTCAACAGTGATATAGAATGGTTCTTGACACCTACATACTCAGGAGGCTAGGGCTGAATGTGTTGAATGTATCATTGTTCATGTTGACCTTGATCCCTGGCTGGCATGGTCTGGCCCTTGCTAGTAAGGATAGAAAGAATGAGTCTACAGTTGTTATTTTTTCCAGTACTATTTGTTTGTCTAATCCAGAATTTTTTTTTTTTTTTTGTCTTTTTCATTTTTATCGGTACCAGGGATCGAACTCACGACAGCCCGCTTGCAAGGCAGGTACTTATGCCGCTGAGCTAAATCCCCAGCCCCTAAGCCAGAATCTTTTAAAAATTTTTAATTGAAAATAATACCATTAAGGAAACAAATAAGATTTTATTCCATTGCCATTGGAGATGGAAGAGAATAATTTAAATACAGCTTCACAGGTGCCTATCTGAAAGGCCAATATCATCTTGGTTTTAAGGAACGATTAAAGGTGAAGGGAGAGGAACAGAAAGCAATATTTTCATCACATGGAAACAATGCATTTGGGGGAATTTATTTACTTTTTGTTTTTTTGAGACTATGTGCTGCTGTGTAGTTCAGGCTGGCCTTGAACTTACTATGCACCCCAGGCTGGCCTGCAACTCACGGCAATCCTCTTACCTCACTCGGCCTCCTGAATGTTGAAATTACAGGTGTGCTTCACTACACCTGGCTGGAGAAATTTAAAGGTGATAAGAGTCACCACATTAAGGGAGATCACTTTGACTCGATGAGCTGGGGCTTTGACTGTATGTCTCTGCAGAAGCCATGGAGGTAGAGCACCAAAACTGATCAAACGAGTTTCAACAAGTTGAACTCTAACTTTCTTCTGACTTTTCTTGTAAAATTAGAACCACACTTTCACATTGTGGAATAGGGAAAGAACTGGTCAGAAGCTCTCACAGACAGTCCTGAAACACACTTGGGTTTTTTAATACACCAGCAAGATGGTGTCTACCACAGTCAGTAATGAAGTTGTGCAGGACATGGTGGCTCATGCCTGTAACCCCAGCTACTTGGGGGACTGAAGCAGAAAGAATACAAGTTCAAGGCCAGTCTGAGCAACTTAGTGAGACCTTGTCTCAAAATACAAATATGTAAATAAAAGCGGTGGGGATGCAGCTCAGTGGTAGAGCATTTGCCTACCATGCTTGAGTTCCTGGGTTCAATCTCTAGCGCTGCAAAGAAAAAAAAGTGAAGTTGTACTCCTTAAGGGCCCAAAGGTCTTTCACGTTTGCAGCTGATGCATTTAACCCAGTGCTTTATCCCAGCAAGGCTCCATGGTCTCACTCGAATGAAACCAAACAGGGATATTGCTGGGGATGTGGAGCCGTGGGCCTTTGGAAACTGCAGGTCTCCTTACTCTGAAATCTCATCCATCCCTGCCCATTGTCACTGACAAGTGTGTGTGTTTGTGTGTGCCTGCCAGGATGCATTCCTTTATAAGAGATACAAATCCAAGAAAATTATCCATGGAAGAGGCACTTGAGTCTCATGTCAAACTACAAGGCATCAGGACTGATAAAATTTCTGCAGAAATTTTATTCACAGGCTAAAGATGATTTACCTCAATAGGACTTTAATAAGCATCAACTCAGCACTGTACCAGGAATGAAGAAAAGCAAGGAAAGCATCTGATACAAGCCCAACTTTAAGGTTATTTGTAATCTGGCTGACTGGGCAGATATTGTAAATGAGAGTTTAATTCAATGCGTGACACAGGCAACTGCCAATATGTGAGAGGTCAGTACAGCCTGGAGCAGTGGGTGAAAACGTCACAAAGCAAAGCACGTAGAGACCAAGGTGAAGTCACTGCAGTCTTGGGGCAGCTTCAGTGGTGGGGCTTATAATTAGGGCAGGGAGGCTTTGAGATCTGAGAAACACAGGGCTAAATGCTGACCTAGCTCTCTTCTTCCTGCTTCTTGACCTTGCCTCTCTAATCTTCCGGGATCTCATCTTTAGAGCTGAGAGAGCTCCAGGGTTTGGGAAGGATTAACTGAGACTGTGCCTGTGCAGGGCATGGCACCATGGCTGACGCCCATGGTGGTGATGGTGCCCTTGATTGGAGAGGAAGATTGGGCAGGCTGAAGGACAGCAAGTTCAGTGTGGTAACTGCTCAGTGACAGGGAGGTCTCCTGCTTCCCATTCAGTAAGAGAGAGAGGAAGTCATGGGCAGGTGAGCTGTCTGCAGGAGGCTCAGCAAGGACAGGAACAGGCCCCAAGGACACATGGATATGCACGACTTGTCCCTCTGTAGTTTCCTTCTGTTCCCCTGTGACAGTCTGTCCCTAGCCCAGTCCTCTCACAAGCTGTGGTGAGGAAGACAGAAAGGATCAGAACAAGTCCATCACTACCCACAGCTGGTGCTCTCGGGACAGCTGAATTGGTGCCCAACACATAGCACCCAGCTGTTACGACGGTCCTGGGCTGAAGTCAGAAATTGCTAGAATGGGCATAAGGTTCACGAGACATTATTCACTCAACCACCTGGCAAAGACAAGCAACCCCTGCAAAGGAGGCCTCACCCCATCTTGTTGACGCTATGTGATGATGGAGATGAGTAACACACAGTCTCTGCTGTCAGGAAGACAGATTGGTAACTCGTGATAATCCACTGCTCTGAAAAAGAGACCCTCTAAGAGAGGGAAAATGCCCGGAGGCCATGTTTAGCAGGAGTGGATACTGGCAGAGGCCCTTCAGGTGGCCATTTAGGGACCATCAAAGTGAAGAGAGGAGGCTGCTCCCCACCCTCGCCCCCTTGTGAGTGTCACCCCTTCTCCTGACACTTTTAATTTAAACCCTCATGAGCTGCTCCTTGCTTTTCTCACTCTTATTTTGTGTTTCTTCAGTAGCAGTTTTCAGCCCTCACCATCCCTTCTGAGGCCGTCCTGTGTCACCTCTGTCTTCCGCCCGCTTGTCAGCACTGCCCACTGCTTGACCTAGTTCTTTGGCCCTGGTCAGACCTGCCACTCGAGGGACAGCTAGGGATTAGCCTACTCCTCACACTAGGTCATCCAGCGGCAGCCTCTCCCTGTCCTTGTCCCGGAGAGTGTGTGCCCAGCTGCAGTACAAGGAGTCTCAGCTGAGTCTATAAACATTCATTGTTTATACTAAAAACTCCAAGCCTTTTTCAAAAGATGACGGTAGTATATGTGAGGACTTTTACAAATCTATTTTTTACTTAGTCATTTTACTTCTTGGAATCCGTCCCAAGGGATGGAGGCAGGATAATGATCTACAAAAATATTAATCATAGCTCTATTTATACAAATATGCTAGAAAGCAATGAATTACCCAAAAATGACCACCACTAGAAATCTCTTGACAATTATTTGCTAGCCTGGAAATTGCTTGGAGTACAGGATGAGATGAAAACAGAGCGCTGAGCTTTGGGCTGAATTGAGAGGAGACAGTCCTGGAAGCAAGCAGGACAGGAAACCAGGACTTGGGACTTTGGTCAAAGTAGCAAACTTCTTTTTCAAAGTGGAGGTAAAAGTGGGCATGGTGGCACACACCTGTAACCCTAGCTCTTGGGCCACTGATACAGAAGGATTGCCATGAGTTCAAGGCCAGCCTAGGCTACATAGTAAGTTCAAGGCCAGCCTGAACTACATAGTGAGATCCTGTCTCAAAAAAACAAAAATCAGGAAGGTAATAATAGTAAATGCCATGTGAACTGTCCTGTCTATAACACATGTGACACAGCACCATCCCAGGCCAGCAGACACTTTCACTGTAGTTGTTAGTATTATTATTATTGAACTCAGTGGGCCACTGCTTCTGGACTTGAGTGGACAGGACACTTGGTAGTGGGGGACAATAACCCTTGAGAAATAAAGACAACATTCTCCCTCCTTTCAAGAACTTTTCTACCGGTACAGACTTTCACCCTTCTAAGCTTTTGTTACATGGTTTCCTTCCATTCCTGGCTTGTTCTGTGGGGCATTCCTAAAGACGCTTCCACAATAATATTTACAGGATAGAAGAGAAATACATGCTACAGAACCTTTGCCTAAGAACCTGATGGTCTTGGTCAGTCATTCTAACATCAGAAAAAAATAGAATCGCAGCTCTTTGGTTTGAAGATGGATCTTTAAAACCAGAGGAGAGTGAGTCAGAGTCAGGCTTGAGGCTTGCCAGGGGAGAGGCATGCCTCCTCAAGCTGCTGGAGACCTGATAACTTGCTAGACTTTTTCTTGGCTCTGGAGGGCTTGTGGAGCAGCCAGCATCCTGACCTTTAAAGTCGTTCCATGAGCTCAGAACATGGGGAGGGAGATTGGAAACATCACCAACACACTCCCCAGATGGCTCATCCTACAGATGCCATATAAATGTTTTCCCCAGGTCCAGGGCCACAGGTTCAGGAATCCGCAGAGTCCCTTAGTAGCCCACAGGTAGTTTTTCTGCTTTTCCTGCAGTGATGCGGTGCCTGGGGATCCCCACTCGTGTGACCACCAACTTTGACTCTGGCCATGACACTGATGGCAACCTGATCATAGATGAGTACTACGACAGCACAGGCAGGATTTTGGAGAACAAGAAGAGAGATACTGTCTGGTGAGAGATGATCTCTTCATCTTTTTCTAGGGTTACACACCTGAGCCAAAGCCCATAAGCAGGAAAGGAGGGCAAGACTGTGTCCATAGCTTGCTACTCCACCCATCCCTCTTCCCCTTGCTTGGTGACCCCACTGGGAGATAGCCGAACAAAAGCAACTTGGGGTTTAGGGTCTTTTTATCCCCAGAGCTCTCCACCCTAGGTAGAGGCTTCCCTCCTTGGCATCTCCTTCATCTAATGCTCAGCCTATGTTTTTGATCACTAGAGAGCTCAAAGTTACACCTCTGCACACAAAGACCATGCATGTTGCTACCATGACATGTTCAAGGAAGGGCCCATTAGGACCTTTTTGAGAGAGTATAAAGGAGTTTTAGCATCAGAAGACTGGAGCCTTCATTCTCTGTTCACATAGTCAGCAGAAGAAAAGTTTTCTCTAGGGGCTATGGACAATCAAGGGGAAGAGAATCTATCACTATTCACATAGAGGTCTGGGCCGTATGGGCACTAAATCTAATAGTTCTGCTCATCCATCTTCCTCTAGAAATGAGACAGGCAGGACAACTTTTCCCTAAGTTGCAGTTAACACTGGCTCCTCTGGTTTGTCTCCCAGGAACTACCATGTTTGGAATGAGTGCTGGATGGCCCGGCAGGACCTCCCCCCTGGATATGGAGGCTGGCAGGTGCTGGATGCCACCCCTCAGGAGACCAGCAATGGTGAGGCTATCCAGAGAGAAGGCAGGACCCGCTCCCACAGCACCTGCTTCTGCCCCTACCTGGCCTGCCACAAACTGCTCCCCACCACCATGGAGGCTCTCCTGTTCTCCTCTAGGGCTTTACTGCTGCGGCCCTGCCTCAGTCAGAGCCATCAAAGAAGGCGAAGTGGATCTGAACTATGATACACCCTTCGTATTTGCCATGGTGAATGCTGACTGCATGTCCTGGCTTGTCTATGGGGGGAAGGAACAGAAACTTCACCAGGACACAACTTCCGTTGGCCATTTCATCAGCACTAAGAGCATCCAGAGTGATGAACGGGATGACATCACGGAGAACTACAAGTATGGAGAAGGTATGCTCAGGCCGCCCCACTCAGTCCAATCCTACAGGCACCTTCCCCGGCCTGCCCTAGGAAGGCATCTTCAGGGAGGGCCAGCTCAGCTCTCTGTCCAGCCATCAGCTCTGACAGCTTAGTTGGAGGATCCCACTGCTTCCTTTCTTGTGCACCCCACATCCCACAGCACAGTGAGCTCCCCACAGACATTCACGGTGTTTGGAGAGCTGTTCCCAGGCATCTAATCAACAGAATATGAATCCTTTGCCTTTGTTTCCTGAAAACTCCACCTCCTTCCGGAGACAGCAAGTGACTTAGTACTCTCTCTCCTATGAGTATTTTATTTTCTTCAACCTGCTGTTTAATTGATTCTTTCTGTTTGGGAGACAGGTCAAACTCTAGGCAACACCCTATAGCCAGATATTCCCTCCCATTCCTGCTGAGGGCAGAGGGTGATTCTTTTTTTTTTTTTTTTTTCTTTGTCTTTTTCATTTTTATCGGTACCGGGGATCGAACTCACGACCACCTGTTTGCAAGGCAGGTGCTTATGCCGCTGAGCTAAATGCTCAGGCCCAGAGGGTGATTCTGAGGAGCAAGCCAGGAAGGGGGCTTCTTACACAGCCAGCAGGGCCACAGGGAAGGCTACGTTAATCAAGTGTAGACACATTTTTAGAAATCAGGAAAGGCCAACTGCCAAGTTCACCTCTCAGGGAATCCAGCAACACTAGCCAGCCATGAGGCCAGGGACAGGTACAGTCAGCTCTCTGTATATCCATGGGTTTTGTGCCCAAGTAGTCAACCAACTGTGGGTTGAAAATGTTTGGGGAAAGAAATCGCATCTGTGTTGAACATGTATACACTTTTTGCCTTGTCATTAATCTTAAATCATATAGTACACTAACTGTTTGCATAGTGTTTCCTTTGTGTAAGTTATCACTATGTCATCTAGAGATGCTTTAAAGTTTGTAGGAGGTTCTGTGCAGGTTACATGCAAACACTACACCACTGTAGTGGTGCCTTGAATTTTGGTATCATCAGGTGTCCTGGCACCAGTACTATGTAGGTATCAAGGGATGGCTGTATTGAACACACAGCCTAGCATCACCTCTCCAGTCCTCATTGATGCCGGAGGTACTTGGTTGGCATCCCCCACAACAGACCTGCAGGCAGAGTTTCAAGTACAAGTGGTTTATCTGGGAGGCACTGCGGGGCACATTGGTAAGCATGTGAACAAATGGGACAGAAGTGAAAGAAGGCAATCTAGGGGTGCATAATGCTTTGTCATAATTACGTAACACATTATGTTATCTCAAATTCAAATTCAGCAGGCCTGTATTTTTATTTGCTAAATCTGGTAGCCCCGCCTTTGGTTTAGGGAGATGTGTAGACAACACTGCAGATCTGGGCACCAGAGAGGCAAGGAACCCAGTGTTGAGGGCTGCTCCTCGGGAGCATAAGTTCCTGACATTTCTGATGTGTCCCATGCACAGGCTGGTCTGATCTAGGGACAGAGAAACTCTCAGAAGGAGTCACAGGAGCTACAGTCTGAAAGTAGAGCCTGTGGCACAAAATGGGACTTGCCAAGGGGATCCCAGCAACATTTACTACAAGGCCCATAGGGCCCCTTGCATTCACAGAGACTAAGTCACACTGCAGTGGCCCCGAGTGCTCTGCTACATTTTGTCTCCCTGGGCCAGCAGGCTTCTGTCTCTCTCACTTGGACTGATGCATTCTGGGGGCCAAACAGGCCACAGGTGCCCTGAATATGACTTGCTCCTCTCTGGGTCCATTTTTACTGAGTGAAAAGTCTCAAGATCCTCTTCCACCTAGGGCTGGGCTACAATAACCCCCAGAGCAAGAGCGTCAAAGTGGCCTCTAGAGGGCTCAGAAGGTTGTGCAATTGCACTGAGAGTGCGGAGCCCCTGGGAACAGTAAATTCTTGGGAAGGGGATTATTAGGGATTCCTGGGGGAGTATTCCTGCCCCTTGGTCCTGTGAGACTGAGTAGGAAGCCTGAGACACTTCAGGAATCTGTTTGCCTGAGTGACATCATTTGTTTATTTTTATTTTTACTGTACTTCTTGGTTTCTTAGTTTGCAGGACTTAGTCTACAGCTGACCAGTTATTTGCCTCTAAAACAGGAAATCACACCATACTCTGCTGAGTTTTTTAAAGTAAAAATTTGTTATAATACACAAAAACATAAAACTAGTACCAGCTTTCAAGTCTAGAACCTCCCTCCTCAAAGAGAAGTTGTCTCCTTCCAAGCTGGGCTGTTTGAGTAAGATGCATGAGGTACATAGCTCCTTCCTTCTTGCCTTCTCTCATACATCTTTTTACAGCCTCTTGGTCTCTCACCTGACTTCCTTAGCTCTTTGGAAGGTAGCTGTTGTGTGAATGCTGCTCAATTTGGTGTCTCTAGGAAAGACGATCACTGGAGGATCTTCTTTTACTGCCTTTAAGAGATTTATCCTCCACATCTGTGGGTCTTTGTCTTTCCCTGAGGATGTTACAGCTAAGTCACAAACACAGATTTTGGACTTTGGCGTATTTGGTACCCACCTGACCCTCTCCCTGCAAGTTCCATGCCAAAGGCAAAGACAAACTGATCTGAGCTTCCTTTTTCAAATGTATATAATAATAATAATACAAGGTATCTTATCTTTTTTGGAAGTTGATATGAGGATGGAGAGATGCAAAATGCTCAGCAGAGCCTGGCTCTTGGAAAGCACTTGAAGGGCGGTAATACTTCTTAGAAATGAAAGCATTAAGCTTCCCAACCCACACAAGGCCAGTAGACGTGTGGACAGTGAAATGTTCAGCCAAGAGGAGCCTCTGTGTAGCATGACCTATGGAAGATAATGTGTTCTCCCCTCCTAGGTTCCCCCGAAGAGAGGCTGGTGTTTCAGAAGGCTCTACAGAAGCTGAGGGCTAGGAGGTCCCAAGGTGCCTTCCGGGCTGATTCACAACCCTCCAGGCCCATGTCACAGAGCTGGAACAGCCATCGGAGCCTGAATATACCCTCCCATCGACCCAGTGATGTTGTTCAAGTCTCTCTCAAATTCAAGCTACTCGACCCACCCAACATGGGCCAGGACATAAACTTTGTCCTGCTGGCCCTCAACATGTCATCCCAGTTCAAGGATCTCAAAGTGAACCTGAGTGCCCAGTCACTGCTGCACGATGGCAACCCCCTGCCCCCATTCTGGCAGGACACAGCTTTCATCTCCCTGTCTCCTGACGAAGGTATGGGCTCTGGATAAAGCGTGGACACACCGGGCACAGAGTTGTTGGGTTACTACTGGGGTGAGGGGTTAAGTCAGCCAACAGGACGCTGAGGGAAGACTCCTGAGACTGTATTTTCTTTCACTGTCTATTTCAGCACCAGTTCTTCCTCTTCCCTTTGCTTCCTTCCTTCCCTTCCTCCCCTCCTTTCTCCTCCCTCTTCTCCCCGACTTCTTTTTACTACCTCTAACAAAAGCATCTACCTCAGTCCAAAATGTGCATCTTGGAGTCATCTAGAACTTGCTTGGAGCCTCACTTGAGTGAGCTCCCTTATCCTCAGTTGCTCTGTCTGACGAGCTGGTGCTCAGTACAAGTTGGTTCTAGGGAAGGACAACCAGATCCAGCCCAGTCACAGCCAATGCTCCTGGCCACTCTCACCTCACCTTGTGTTTTCTCTCTAGAGAAGACCTACACCTGCAAAATCCCCTACTCCCAATACAGCCAGTACCTGTCCACCGACAAGCTGATTCGCATCAGTGCCCTGGGTGAAGAGAAGAGCAGCCCTGAGAAAATCCTGGTGAACAAGATCATCACCCTGACTTACCCAGGCATCACAATCAATGTAGGCAAGAGATCTGCCAGTGGCCTGGGTGCCCCTTAGCTCGGGCTGGGAGGCAGGGTGGCCCTCTGTGAGAGCACTGGGCCTGCTCAGGAGAAGCTCCTCTTTTTCTTTGCCTCTTCTGATACCACAAGGTTGGGAGACTTAATGACAAGTCTTATGAGTCTGCTGCAGAGCAGGGACCATGGGCTATCAGAGAGATCCTCTCTCAGGCCACCTCCTGCATTTAGTTGGCCTTCCCATGGAAATTGACCCCCAGTGGGAGGGGCTCCGCTGGGTGAAGCACCCTGTCCCAAGGTTGGCTTAGATGTCATTTCCTTCTCCTGCCTGTGCAAGGCTGCTGTTTCTTGAACTTTCAGGAGTGAATTAGACCACACAGGCTCTGAGGATCCCTCCTTTTCTGAAGCTCTGTAGTCTCCTGAGTGAGAAGATGTTCAGGGTTACTTCCTTCTAATGTTCACTTCCAAGGCCAACTGCCTCTTGGATCCCACCAAACAGCTCAAGGAATCTCCGGTCGGGCAATTAGTAGTTGGGCTCATGGCTGAATGTGGTGGTGCACACCTGTAATCCAGCTACTCAGGAGGCTAAGGCAGGAAAATCACAAGTTCAAGGCCAGCCTGGGCAACTTAGTGAGACCCTATCTCAAAATGAAAAATAAAAAAGGCTGAGAAGAAACGCAGTGGTAGAATATTTGCCTAGTATTCACAAGGCCTTGACTTTGATCTCTAGTCCCTAAATAATAATAATAATGATGATAATAATAATAATTTGGGCTTATAGCCTCTCAGCAAAGAGAAGTGATAAGACAAAGGAAATGCACCTTGAGTCTCTAGAGTCAACAGATTGTGAGGAGGCAAATCTAAAAGAATCACTCAAGGGGAAGGGTTACTTCATAAAATATTGTTAACAGATTCTTCTGCAGCCTCTCTAGGCCAAGAGGGGTTTAAAGTTATCTCAGTGATTACATTTTGTTCTTCCTAGTTAGAAAGAGGGTTCAGTCCGTGGTTGGCTGGCTCCAAGGCATAAATGGCATGGTGAAAGGGCATGATGGAGGAAAGTTTCTCATCCCATGACAGCCGGGAACCAGAGGAAGAAGGGAGGAGTCAGAGACAAGAATACACTTACCCTTTGAGGGCACCCCACGCCCACCCCGGCACTCCTAACAGCACCTTTGTATACTGAACTCATCAAAGGGTGAATCCAGCTATGAGTAAAGCACTCCCATGACCCAGCCACCTTCTAAACACACAAGACTCGTGGGGACACTGTAGATCCAAACCATAACAGGAGACCAGAGATCATTTCTTATGTCTTCTGCTTCGTACTGCCTTCCATTTAAAATAATCCTGATCCCAAAGTGGCATATTTAGGAGTAGCATATTCTGCCACCACACAAAACAATGCTGTCCCCAAATGTTTAGTGGGGAGGGAAGTGGGACTAATTTCATGCCCCTTTCCTCTGCTGGGCCTTTCTTTAGATTCTAGGTGCAGCCATCATGTACCAGCCTCTCTCCATACAAGTGATCTTTTCAAACCCCCTCTTGGAGCCCGTGGAAGACTGTGTGCTGACCTTGGAAGGAAGTGGCCTCTTTAAGAAGCAGCAGAGAATCCTGTAAGTGCTGGGAGTGCTCAGCCTTTTCTGCTGGGGTTAACACTGCCCTTTCTGAATACTGGCTCCAGGGCCAGGCTCAGGACTCTGCAGAAGGGAGAGACCAGGACGTAGAGTGAAAAAGTGCACTGGGGCTGTCATAGTGCCTTTCTGACACTCTTCATTCTCTGCTACAGCATCGGAGTCCTCAAACCCCATCACAAAGCCACCATCACTGTGAAGACTATCCCCTTCAAGAGTGGCCCGAGGCAGATCCAGGCGAACCTAAGGAGCAACAAGTTTAAGGACATCAAAGGTTACAGGAATCTGTATGTAGACTTCGCATTATAAATTCTGGGACAAACAGATTTTTAAACTTCAAGTTTGAGTGTGAGCTGTGCACAAAAGGAGAATCCAGCAATGGCCCATGGCCTGGGCCATCTGCACAGCCCTCCCAAGACTTTTCAGCATTCATGGGTTCCCATACAGATGTGTGATTTGGCACAGAGGTCAGAGGACAGTGGTTGGGTTTGGCCGTCACCGACCAGCTGAGCACCTCATGCAATGCTAATTCCCAGTACTAATAAACTTCAGTCCTTTCTCTCATCTCCTTTGTCACACGTAACCATCGCTTTCCCTGAATAAGATCCCACCTGTTGCCACCAGCTCCCTGGTTGCTGGGAGTGTCCTGTTGCTTCAAAACCTGAGCCCATTTACTCTTTCAGAAAGTGTTTGTTGAGTGCCTGGTGCATGCCAGGCACTATTCGGAGTGTAGGGGACAAGATAATAAACAAAGCAGTATCTGTGCCATGATGGAGCTTACATTCCAGTGCAGCCAGGGAAGAGAGATGATAAACGTAGACAGTGTAGCAGTCATGAACCAGTTAGAAAAGCACAACCTTGCAGGTAGCACCTGCAATCTCTCTATGTTGGACAAAAGCCTGTGAGATCTCTCACCTTTGGCTTCCTTTTGAATCCCTTCCCCTGTGACAGCCAATGGACTCTCACAGTCTTAACATCTTCATGCAATGTCACCTGGGCATTGCAGTTCTGGAGGGCTGCAGGTGGCTGGAGTTCAAGAGATATAGCCAACTGAATAATGCAGTCAGATAATGTTTGGTAGAGAATCAAATACTCCCAAAGTTTTCTATTGGTTGCAGCTTGTATTTATGGTCATTTAAACTCCACCCTTTCCAAGACCTAGTAGAGCATCACACCCTACCAGACACACCCTCTTTCTCATGGCACCAATCAAAAGTCTGCTCCATAAAGGCACAAAGGACCTGCCTTCCAGGCGCTGGCCAGGGACTGGGACAGCTGCCCCATTCCATGTACATGCATTAAATAAAGAAGCTGTAGGCTTCAATTATACATAAACAAAAGGGTCAGTGTGGTTAATGAGAGGGAGAAAAGGAGTGCGGTAAGAATTACATGATAGTCTCATTGTCTCACCAGAGAGTGGGCTGAGAACTGGGAACTGGTGCCAGGGAGTTAGAAGTAACATGCAATTATCCTATAATTGTTACACGACAGTCATGAGAAATCGTTTAAGGAAAACGCCCTGGAGAGGCACCTTACAGAGACAGTGGCTTCTAAAGTACTTGGAAGATACCAGCTATTGCATCCCAAGATTCTGTTATGAATCTCAACTTTAATTACCTGTTCATTAGGTCACTCAGTAAGTATGCACTGAGTTTCTTCTAGGAGCCAGGCACTGAGCTAGGTAGGTAATGAGGACATGAGAAAGGCCAGAGCTGCCACTTCAGGAGCTCAAGTATAGTAAGAGTTTGGGAAAAGAAAACAGGAGACTAAAACCCAGAGTGGGAGAAGGCCTCTGGGTAAATCTGAGAGTCATGGGAGCAGAAGGCCAACCAGTTCAGTCTTGGGATTGTGATCAAGGAAGGCTTCCTAGAAGAAGTGATTGAATGCTAAAAGACTAGCAGTTGATCAGAGGTAGACTTTGGATAAGAGGAAGAGGGGGTAGATAAAACAGCCAGAGCCATAAGCCATTGAGATGAGCATATAAAAAATAAATGCATTTCCTCCCTGCTCTGTAGCCAGAGGAGTTTGCAATTCCTGTCAAAGTTACTCCTTTGAGAGCAAAGGTCTTCTTTGATGGTAAAGGCCATTTTCCATGCATTCACTAACATCTATTGAGTACTTGCCTGCATGCTGGACATTCTAGGCCTAAGGAATAGAACAGGAAACAGCACAATAAGACCCACCCCGCCCCTTCCCAACACCTACTCCCAGCCCCAATCCCCTGACCCTAACTGAACTCAGTGTAGTTTCCTTCTTACAAACCCCCAGCTCAGTTCCAGGTTAAAACACACACACACACACACACACACACACACACACACACACACACACACACAGAGCCTTATGAAATATTTTTAAAGTAATACCTTTTTCCTCATTGTGTACAGCATTGGTAAATCTGTTGAGGAAGATCTGTTTTCTCCTTATGTGTCTTTGTTGGTGCCATAAGCTAGTCTGAAATTCAAGGAAGTTACAGAAGCTCTTGAATAACCTCCTGACCTTGGGAATAAATAGAGCAGCTGGGGCTGCTTGTGTGGAAAGATTAGGCCGCGCTTCTCCTTGGTCTCTCCAACTGGCTGAGGGATGGCGAACCTCTCAGAGCGACTGCAGAATGCACGCGGCAGGTTTGCCACCACTGCTGCAGCCCCCACCATCTGTCTGCTGCCCGTTAAGAAGCAGGCAGGGTGCAGCAAGTGCAGCCCTTCTCCACCGCCCTGAACCTGACTCCCACAGTGCTAGCATCAGGCCTGCTGCTCTTACAGCAATGCAGACAAAAAGAGTTCAATTGCAAAGTGCTGATCCCTAACAGCCACCTCTGACCCCATAGGTTGGGGCCTGCTTAGGCTGTATTTGGAGCGTGGAGCTTCCTGAGGGAGGCCATGTGCCTGGTGTATCAAGGATGCTCAGGAGAGGTTTGAACTGCAATAATGAATGGCTCTGTGGGAATGTGAGAAGCAGGTTAGTATCAATGTCAGGCTCTGGTTTTATTAACATCCTCCAGAGAACATTCTGACCAGCAGGTGAGTAGGGACAAAGGATCATAATGGAGGTTGATTTAAAAGTTTTCCAAGAGCTGGTCTGTTTCCTACTTATTGCTTTTACTCTTGAGAAATTATCCTTCCAGGGACCCCATCAAAAGCCAGGTTCCATCATTCATGGTACCACATCATAGCGCTCAGGAGGCTGAGGCAGGAGGATTGCCACAAATTCAAAGACAGCCAGTACTACATGTTGAGTTCAATGCCAGCCTGAACTACGTAGCAAGACCCTGTCTCAAAACAAAAACAAAAACAAAAAACCAGGTTCGTTGGGATTTCTCATCCTTGGTGGCTCCAGAACTCCACCCCTATAAGGTGACCAGATCTGCCTAGATACTCAGGTCTCGACTACCAACTATGTATCAGCAAATGTTCCACAAGGAAAAGTGGTAATCAGGGCCAAACTCAACTCTATGCACTCTTCTCCTGAGATCTTGACCCTCTGACACTTCTTGCCATGATGTCTTAAAGCAAATATGTTATTTTACTTTAGTTCCTTTGAGACCAGGTTCTGCATTATCTCAGATAGGTCTCAAACTCCTAGGCTCAAGTGATTCTCCTGCCTCAGCTCCCAAGTGCTGGGACTACAGGGACATTGCCACTGTGTCCAGTCAGGTATTTTAAATATTTTACTCAGTTTTCCTGCCTCTTCCCAACAGAATGAGTGCTAACAAGCTAATCTGTTGAATCTACATGCAGAAATCAGTGAGAAGACTGAATAGAGAGCCTCCCTGGTTTGGATGAAGGCTAATTGGAAATCAAACATGCAGGATTAAGTTGGAAGATCTTGATTGGAGTCTAGGCTTTGCTATGAGGTGGGAGATACTGGTTTTTTTTTTTTTTTTTTTTTTTTTTTTGAAGAGGTAAAATCAAGGAAAATAAAACCAATCAAAATAAACCAGTATAAGTGATACAAGACTTCAAAACCTTATGAAATCAGTGATAGTTACCCTAATGAATTTTGTTGTCTTCAAAATAGCTGCAGATCTTTCAAACATAGTACAATAGAGCAGAACAGAATAGAATAAAAACAAAACAATGAATGCAGTAAAGGACTTCAAAACAAATCAGTAGTAAATCTAAAATGTCTACCATAATATATCTTGCTATCTTTCAAGTAGCTGCTCATGCCATCAGATTTAACATAACCAAACAAAACAAAAGAGAATAAAACCCAACCCAACAAAACAATAAAAATGGTGTGGTTTCCAGACGGGGATTGCTTCCTGGCGAGGCCTGGTTCTCTCCCTGCACAGTCCACCAATGGTGCTGACTCACAGAGAGAGGCTTGGGTCTGGCTCTAGGCGGGAGATAGTGGGAAAGTGTCAGTCCTGAAGGGCTTAAAGGTAAATGTCCAGGATGTGGACTATTGTATGCAAGAGGGTGAAGATTTGCAATTTCCAGCTTGACTTTGGCTCTTTTGGGGCTCTGATCTTTCATTGTTTGCATCATTTTAAAAGTGGTCTTCTACCATGTTATGATTCATTGTCTTCTTAAATTCTTTCTGGGATGTGGGAATGTATTTATTGATTTATTCATTAAAATGGTTGTTTACTCCTTGGACTTGTCTTCTCACCAATAATATGGTAATAATAAGCCCTTACATGGCTCACAAGACTAAGGTTCAGATACTGCGAGAGACCTTGGTGGAGGTGTTTTGTAAAGCAGTGTAGCAGCATACTTTATTTGAACCTGGGGGTCAGGCTGAACATCTTATCTTCTCTGTCCTCTCTTTCCTGTCCATTGATGTGTCTTGCCAATTACTTATCAAATCTACCCAGGTCCTTCTTCACCAACAACACTCCCCAACCAGGCCACCCTCATGTTTCCCTGGCACTGTTACAGTAACCTCTTACCCACCAACTCCTTCCTCATTTGTCTCATCTAAATCATTTCCCTTATTTTAGCCAGTGTGGTATATTTAAAATGCAAATCACATTTGTTGCTCAACTGCTTAAGATACCATTCAATGATCTCTCACTGCTCCAAGAATGAAACTCAAATCCTTAACTCAACACTGGAGGATTTAATCCTTGCCTTAGCTTTCTTGTAGCTGCTCGCTGCCTTTGAAATGTGCTCATCCTGTTCTCTCTCCCACTCCACCTCACCCCTTACCCCAATGCCAAACAGCTCCTGCTTAGCTTTCCACCTTCCAGCTGAAATATTTCTCTTAGTTACTTCTCTCATTGTTGAGACAAAATACCCAACATCCAAAGCAAAAGGAGGCAAGGTTTATTTAGCTCACAGTTTGTAGAGGTTTCAGTTCATAATCAGCCTGCTCCACAGCAGAGTTGGATCGCAAAGGAGAAAGAGTGTCTGGCAAAGCAGGGCAGGCAGAAGGCTGATGGCATCTTGGCAGCAAACAATAAGGAAAGTGACAGCCAGCTCCAACAGCAGCCCCTCATTCTGCCTCTTAAATCTTATCTAGGCTACCCGCCCATAGGGCAGGTAGCTCTCACATGTTTAATCCTATCGTCACATCCTTGACCCAGCATCAAACACCCTAGATCCAGTCACCTCCAAAAA